GATTTTATTTATTTGGGGGAGAGAGAGAGAGAGAGCATGGGGGGCAGGGGGCGAGGGGTAGAGGGTGAAGCAGACTCCCCACTGAGCAGGGAGCCTGACGCGGGGCTCGATCCCAGGACCCTGGGATCATGACCTGAGCCGAAGGCAGACGCCTAACGACTGAGCCACCCAGGTGCCCCTATGTTTAGTTTTTTAAGGAATCACCAAACTGCGGTGTTGCATGGGTCTTAGCCAATACAGTGATGCTGTGGGCTAGATATGCCTGGGGCACTCACCGACCTCATACCACTTGGGGTGAACCCCCCCCACACACCCCCTCCGATATTTCCCCCATCGGAGCCAATGTTGTGGCTGGACCAGCCCTATGGTGGAGCCAGCTCTGGTGGTTCCTGTTATGATTGTGAGACACCCCTCGGCAACAACCATTGGGGAAGTTTGAAAACATGAGGTTTCTCAATCACAAGTCCGGGAAGGTGCACGGCACGCGGGGGCCACCCAGGGTTGCTGTAGGGAGAGACAGAGAGAGAGAAAGAGAGAGAGCACAGACCTGGAGTTCTGCCTTTACTGGGGTCCTCGGGGGTGGCTAGGAGGGACTTAGGGTGCAGGAAGGGAAAAGCAGGCTCACTCATGGGCCAGTTATCTAGGCTCTCCAAAGCTTTCTAAAAGGGGCATTTCAGGGGCACCTGAAATGGGTGCTCAATCAGTTAAGCGTCTGCCTTCGGCTCAGGTCATGATCCCAGGGTCCTGGGATCGAGTCCCACGTCGGGCTCCCTGCTCAGTGGGGAGTCTGCTTCTCCCTCTCTCACTCCCCCTGCTTGTGCTCTCTCTCTTTCTCTCTCCCTCTGTCAAATGAATAAATTTTTTAAAATCTTAAAAAAAAATAAAAGGGGCACTTCATCGATGGGGGCCGCCTGGGGGCTGGAAGCTGGTGATGCATTTATTCGAGAAAGCCATCTATAAAGGATGCCTCACCACGCATGTTAGTTTCCTTAGCGGCCTCACCATTTTCAAGCCCACCAGCAGTGCGCCAGTTTCCTTCCTCCTCATCCTCCTCAACCCTTGTCATTTCCTGCTGTTCGGTAGTGGCCATCCTCATGGGTGTGAGGTGGCAGACTCACATTTTGAATAGATCCTTCGATCTACGCTGCAGAGATCACAGAGCTCCAGACAAGCATTTGGGACTTGGAATAAAAAAGCTCGGAAGGAACTTTCTGGAGGACGGCCTCTCACCCCCTTAAGACCAGAGCTAGGCCCTGGGAATGGAGGGTGGTGACCACAGGGTGATGCCAAGCTGTCTTGAAATGCCTCCCTTCTGTCCTAATTTGTCTGAAAACGCATTGGCCTTTGGGTTTGGTTGTCGCCATCCCCCACCCTGCAGGGTGGGAACAGGGGACCCTAGGACCCTTGTTCCAGGGCTGTGACTCACCTCCAAGGTGAATGGTGCTACCAAAGTGCTTGTCGGCTGGACCTCTAGCTGTCCCTGCATCTCCCGGGGCTTGGGGGCATTTTCGGTTTTATTAACAGGACTTTATTGAGATAGAGTGTTTCTGTGGAGTAAAAGGCACAGATCCTAGTTTGGGGGCTGAGTTTTTATATCTGTAAACCATCCATAGCAAGTTCCAGAATGCTTCCAGCACCCAGGAGACTTCTCCGTGTCCCTCCCAGTCAGTGCTGCCCCCGGGTCATCGCTTTTCTGACCTGTCACTGAACTTGATTTAAATGGAACGGTCCCAGCACGCCTGGTTTCATTCACTCAGCCACGAGCTTCACTGAGGTTCTTTCCTGGATCCGTGGCTCCCTTTTGTGGCTGAGGGCTGGTCCACAATGTGTTTTTTTTTTTTCTTTTTTCCCGCTGGTGCGTATTTGTGTTGTTTCCAGTCTGGGGCGAGGATGAATAAAGTTGTCGTGTGTTTTCCACTTCTTTCCGGGAAATATCTAGGAGGAGACTCACCAGGACAGGGGAGAGGCAAATATTTGACTTTAAGATCGTCCACCAAGAAGTTGCCCAAAGTCGTCTTATTTTATATTCCAATCTGCAGCAGACAAGAGTTCCAGCTGTTCCATATTGATCCCTCCTGAAATTGTCCCAGTGTCCCTGGTGTCCCTGTGAGGACTCCAAACACCTTCCCTTCCTTTCTTTTGTCTCCTTTCTGCCCCAGCTGCTGCCTGCCCCTTAAATTCAGTCGAATTCTGGTTGGTCCAGGAATATAGTGGGGGTGGAGGGTGGGCAGAGGGGACACGGTGGTCTCAGTCTATGGGGGCCTCTCAAAGACGTCAGTCTTTGCAAATTCTGGTGCATCTCGGCAAGGCGCGGGGTGGAAGACAGGTGCAGAGCCGTGAATGGCCCCGCAGCTTCTCCCCACTCGGTGCCTGCACAACCCTTCACTTCTCCTCTAGCTTGGCCATGGACTCTCTCCCCAGCACATTGCGGGGACCCGCTTGACTTCAGGTAAGTTGCTTGTCGCCGCTCCCCTGACACAGCCCATCCTGTCACTAGGTGCTGAAGCCACTTAGACGCAGTTTTTTTCATATGTCCCCCCAACCCATGCCACTTGACCTGTTTTATCATGTCTGAGACTTCTCTCCTCATTCTAACGCCCGGGGTAAAAAGGAAGAGGCGAGACGAGAAGAAAGAGGGACATCCGTGGAGAGGGGACCCCAAGCTCCCGGGGCACCGCTATCCTCTAGGAGAACAATTCCCATTCCCGTGTTTTCTGGTTGGAAAACACTTCTTGCCACACGATTGGGTCTTCATATGATACATAGAATTTTGAAAGGGAAAAATGCTTTTTCTGAGAACCTAAGCGTCCTACAGCTTAGGTTGCCACTGGTGACCTGGGTGACCCTGGGCATGTCCTTTAGACGCAGAGCCTCAGTTTCTCCGTGTGTAAACGGTACAAGCCAGCCTTCCGCCACGGCCCTGCACACAGGCGATGCCCATCAGACCGCCCCACTGTCTTCTGGGCCCTGAGAGCAAGCACACTCAGGGGACGTAGCCACACACTTATGGAAAGTGTCATCTGGAAACTTGCTGAGTCAATGGAGTCAGGCTCTTTGAATCTATATGAACCAAACACAATTCCATCTCAGGAGTGGAGCCCAGAAGGGGACAGGAGGGGAAAAGGTCACTGGGCCGGGGAGTGTCTACTTCCCTCTCCCTGGGTCATACCCCCAGCCCTCCCTCAACGCCCTACTTCTCTTTCTCTAGACCTACTTCCTCTTGCTCCTGGCTCCTCCCCATCCCCATCCCCATTGAGTAATTACCAATATGCTTTAGTTTCTATTTCCTGGTTAGCTCCTCCCAGTGCAAACCACTGCCTGGCTGGGGTGCCGAGCAGCGGTGGCCGCAGAGGTGGTGGAGAGATGGCCTTCAGCAGCTCCCAGCCTCCCTACCTGAGCCCAGTGAGTTCCGGGGCGGTGGGCAGGGGTGGTGCCGGCCTCGGGCTGCGCTGGCGGCCTCAGCCGGGAGGAAGCAGCTCTGGGTCTCTGGGAGATGACCCTTGGGTGGCAGCAAGGTAAGAGCACCGTTGTCCCAAAGAGGACACAGGAGGAAGGGCAGAAAGCCAAGCGGGGGAATCCTGACACAACTCTCTCCCCTGCTTCTCGGGGCTGGCGAGCTGATCGTCACCAGCATTTGTGCCTTTGACTAGTGTTCACTGAGCTCCCCTGGGAGCCTGTCCCAGGTATGGGAAGTGGGGGGAGGGGGGGGAGGGCGGCAGGGGAGAGGGGAGATGGGCATAAGTAATAAATAGAAGAGTGATGCCTTGTTTGTATGAACAGGGAAGTAGACAGGGTTTCTGGGGGAGGCCAGCATAGCACGCCTGGGCGACTCTTCACAGCCCAGCATGGCACTTAAGGGCACTTACTTTGGAGATGGCCTCCCTGGCTCCAGCCATTTACTAGCTGGGCGGCCTCAGGCAAGTTACTTTTACCTCTCTGGGCTTCAATCTCCACATCTGTAAAATGGGGCTCATCCTCGAGCCTACCTCCCAGGGTTAGGTAAGGATGCCCGAGGCAGCATATCTGGAGTGTTTGAACAGTGTCTGGCACGCTGGGGGTCCTTTGGAAGTGTTTCGTATTATTCATAGTCCGGAGGCGGCAGGGAAGTCCTCCTGAGGAGGTGTCTGCTCCCTGAGGGGTGAGTAGACAAGACAGAGGCAGGCCAAGGGTGTCTGCAGAGGGATCATCTCAGGAGTGAGAAGGAAGTGGGTTGTCCCTGCAGTGTGGGGCTCAAAGGGCTGCCTTTTGTACCCTTGGCCACAGACGTGTAGGTTCTGCAGTGTGGGGCTCAAAGGGCTGCCTTTTGTACCCTTGGCCACAGACGTGTAGGTTCTGTCTGCAGATGGCCTTGTCTAAACCCCATGAGCCTTACTATTCCCACATCATACATGGAAAACTGAGACTCAGAGAAGTTGAGGTCACTTGTCCGATGTGCCCAGATGGTAAGTGGCAGATAAGGGAGGTGACTTACCTTACCCCCAGGAGAGGGAGGTGCTTACAGAGAGAGCACCTCTGATAACAGAAGGTAGGCAAGCAGCAACCCCAGGCCCGGGAGCCTTGTGTCCTGGGCCTTGGAAAAGAGCTTCCCAAGGAGCCTGGGCCAAAGGGCTGACAGCCCTTCAGTGGGTGGGGGCGGCGGGGGGGGCATAGGATGGGCAGCAGCTGCTGAAGCAGGGAAGGTGCTAGCTCCACACTCAGCAGGGGCCCTGGCTTGGCCTGTCTCCTCCTCACTGCCAGCAAGGTCAGGGGGAGGGTTGCTGGAGGAAGCTGAACCAGGCCCTGTTGGTTGGCCCTGCATGGCGCTCTCAGGGTCAAAACATGTCACCTTAGGCTCATTCTCTATCAGATGGGCAATCCCAGAGATCCTTCCAGGCCCTGACATTTCATTATTCTGGCTAGTTTGTACTTTCCAATCCTTGCATTCAAAATGTTCAAATCAGAAGGAAAATTCTCCTATGGGCAACAGTGAATTAAAACAGGGCCTTGGAGTCCAGACAAGAGAGAGGATGATGGGTGCAGCCCCCCAGGCGCCGGGAACACCTGCCCACCCACATGGGTGCCCTCTCCCAGGCGGCCCACTGATATCCAGCTGTGGAAAACTTGCTTCCTCCAAAGTGTGGTGGGAAGGTCATGCAGCCGGGCTGCCTTGGGAGTCTGGCCTTCATTCCGTGCCCACGCGCCACCGGGTCAGCCTTATCGGAGGACTGGGACGGAATCTGGAAGCACGGTCAGAACAAGACTCGATGTTTGGTCTGGGGAAGCGCTTGGTGAGCCAGGAGCGAGGATTTCTGTGCTTCGTCGTGAGAAGCAGCCTGTATGACAATTAAAAGCATGGGCGCTGGGGTTCAAACCCCACGCTATCACTGACCAGCTAAGTGGCTTTGGGCAAACTACCAAATCTTTTGTGCCTCAGTTTCCTCTGTAAAAGTGGCACTAATGCTGGGTAATGAGGTGACAGGGCAGATTAGCCACCAGAAGGGCCTCAGAACCTCTGCGGCAGCAGCACCCTTTGGCTAAAAGTCTGCCGCAGCCTCCTGCTGGTGAGCCCCCTCCAGCCAGCTGGGCCCCCTTCGTGACACTGGGCTTCCAGAAGGGGGCTGCCCACCCTCCCGCCTGTAGAGCCTGGCACCTCCAGACAGGAAGAGGAGGAAAAAGTCCTCAGCCTCCAGGCACAGGCAGGAACTGAGAGCAAGTTCTGACCCAGCAGAGGAATTAATTCAGCCTGATGCAAACAGTTGCCATTGTCAAAGACCAAAAACCCAGGGCTTTCTGGGTGACATCTCATCAAACCCTCTCAAGAACACTGTCCGGCCAGTGCTGTTGTCCTACTGTTCCGAGAACAGACCTGGGGTGCAGACAGGTCAAGGGACTTGCCCAGGAGGAGAGCTGTTAGCACAAGGAGCTGGGAGGCAAACCCTTGTCTGTGGGACCATAAATCCAAAAGTTCTCTCTCTCTCTCTCTCTCTCACACACACACACACACACAAAGTCCAAATTCCACAGCAGCCTTGGCCCACCAGGCTTAAAACAACACAAATTTGTTTTCTTACAGTCCTGGAGGTCAGAAACCTAAAAGTATCAATAAGGCTTCAGGGAAGAATCTTTTATTGCCTTTTCCAGCATCCAGAGGCCACGCACCTCCCTCGGCCGGAAGTCCCGCCCTCCATCTTTAAACCCAGCAGCTTCCTGCCTCTGCTCTCCTGCCTCCCTCTTTGAGGACCCTGAGGCCCACCCAGATAATCCAGCATAACCTCCCATCTCAAGATCCTTAACTTAATCACGCCTATAAAGTCCCTTTTGCCTTGTAAGGTGACATACAGTATCCATAAATTCCGGGCATTCGAATGTGGGCGTCTGGGGCGGTGGAGATGGGGTGCTAATTCTTCAGCCCACCATGCCTCCTTGGAGTCAAGCAGGGTTGTCAGTGTCTTTGAACTCATCCACACATATTTCATCCATAATAAGTAAGTGCATGTATGTGGCCTCCCCCACCCGTTTTGTTATACAAACGGTGTCATTACATATCAGTTCTCAAAGAATCCCCTTCTCCCTCTTCTTCCTTTTTTATGGAGGATACAAGGAATCCATTGTATGGAAATACCATGATTTATTTCACCATTTTCCTCTTGGTGAACTTCTACTCTTTTCAATCCTTTGCCGTTACAATGCTGCAGTGAATAACGTTGTCTGTAGGATTATACTCAATTTATTATTTTTTTTAAAGATTTTATTTATTTGAGAGAGGGAGCACGGGAAGGGGGGAGGGGCAGAGAGAGAAGCAGACTCCCCGCTGAGTGGGGAGCCCGACATGGGGCTCGATCCCAGGACCCTGAGATCATGACCTGAGCCAAAGGCAGACGCTTAACCGACTGAGCCACCCAGACTGTCCAGATTATACTCGATTTAAAATAATCTTGTTTTTCAGAATCTGGGGACACCCACCATTTAAGACATACTGAAATCTCAAAACCTTTCTGGGGAAACTGTTGCTTGGGATTAACCTGTACTGCCTGGTCCCCACGATCTGTACACTTTACGCCACCAACCCAGCCTTCTTGCTGTGCGCTTACAACACCCCTAACCACAGTCTGATTGTAGATCTTTACACCTCAGCGTGGATAGTCTTCAGAAGGGAGGGCGGCATGCTTGCCAGGAGTGTTCATTCGCCTTTGAAGCATTATGTCTTGTGACAGGATGAAAGGCTCTTAAGAGATTTTTAGGCCTCAACAGATAAATGAGGGGAGTATGTTTTCAGAGAAGTATGCCCCGCTGGGCCATAAGCTGTGTGAGGCTGACTCTACTTCTCCAAAACCACGGACATGGACCGAAACAACAGAGGGAACTCAGAGAAGCAGAGACGTTGTGCTTTGCTCAAGGTCACCGAGGTATTTAATGGCCTGACCTGAGGAGCAACAGAAGTCGCCCTCCCAGATGCCCTTGTCACAGGCTGAATGAGGTCCCGGTGCCCGTCACTCCCCTGAGCAAGGATGGGCTTCCTTGGGTTCCGAGTGGTCATGTACATGCTACTGTCTCCTCTTAGAAGCTGTCCCTTCCTCTCAGACACTCAAGGGCGGCCCCACCCCATCCTCTCAGAGCCCCCCAAGTCTGTGGAACCACCTGGACTCAGGTCTGCTTCTTCACAGGCCCGGAAGATCCGGGAGGCTGAGGCGCCCCCGAATGGGGCCCCCACCCAGGCCGCTGCTAGCAAGTCCTGAGGGGAACATGCAAAAGGGGGCAGGCCCACTGACTGACCAGCATTTTCTCCCCGCAGGGCATCCCCTTCTCCGGGAAAATCCAGGGGGGTCTCCAGGATGGACTTAAGATCACTGTCAGTGGGACCGTTCTCTACTGCACTGGAACCAGGTACCGGGAACTGTTTCTTCTCTCCAGACTCAGCCCTTAGCCAATCAGGGCCCCCGTCAGCTCACCCAACGCCCTCCGAGCCATCCGCGCCTGGCCCAGGGGATCCCAGGTGGTCTGCACGACCCCATTGGCATCTGCCGGACGCGTCTGGGCACCATGAACATAGACGCCCCGCAGACTTAGGGAGAGCAGGAGCTCACCGTCTAAGGAGGGGAGGGGGCCAGAGGCAGATAATTACGCTCTGGGATTGAGCTTTCTACACTGTAACCCAGAGCTGCAAAATTCTTACTTCCTTCATTTCTCATAACTGCAGAGCCCTCATTTCGTTGATCTAGAACTATTTCAAACTTGTCGTCAAATGCATTTTGGTCTCTTTCAGTTTTGAGGTCTTTTCTGGGAAATACTAAGTCCATTCAAAATACAAACACCCTTTTCCTGCCCCGCCCCCCCGCCTCTTTCCCACGGGGGAATTTTTGGGAACAGGGAAGAGCTTGCAGTCTCCTCAGAGGCTGGAGGCCCTTCAGAAGCTCACGCAGCCCTGGCTGACTTCTGCGGCTGTGCAGGTGGTGCGGGGGAGCGGGGGTGTCTCCCAGTTTGCGGGGTGTCTGCGTCCATGGGGGCTGCCTGCTGAAGTCCGCGGTGCCCACGAAAGCCCCTCTGGACACGTGGTCCTCTCTCAGAAGCCTTTCTGCCTCAATCCCAGATGTCTCTTACCCCCGGTGGTCCTCTCTCCCATCACCTCGCAGGGGCCTGGGACCTCCTGGATCCTTTCACACGGCTCCCAGGCCCAGCCCTACCTCAGTTCAGCACTTCTCCATCACGGCTTTCCCTGCCAGGTGGCCACACTGACCGTGGGACTTCCCCGAGAGCCCCAAGTGCCCCCAGGAGACCCCGAAGGAAGCGAGGCACCAGGATCCCCCTAAACCCTGCCTGCAGGGGACTCTGGGATCTCCCCTCTGAACTTCCCTCCTTTCTCCCTCTCCCTCTGCCTGCCCCTCCTCCGGCACCAGGATGGCTTTCTACTCCACATCCTGTCCCCCCACCCCACGCCTTCCTTCATCCTTCCCCGGGGCAGGATTTTTCTAAGGACTCTAAGAATGAAGCTGGAGGACCACAGAGGGGAAAATGCACCCAGAGACATTTCAGAAAAATATTCTCCGTTTTAAGAGGAATATAGACTTAGATTTGCTGCTTCCAGAGTCCCTGGGAGCCTCCTTTCCCAGAGGGAGGGCTGGCTGGGCTCAGGGCCGCGGCAGTTTGCTGGCTGAGGGTTCTTGCTGGCTGAGGGTTCTCGGAACAACCTGGTGTTGAGGACGACATCCAGAACTCACGCTCCTCCAGCAAGAAATCAAGCGGGCTCTGCAGGAATTGAACAGAATGTCTCTCAAGGGCTGCCTCTGGGCTTGGTGCAGGGCCTGGCCCTGTGGGGGCTGCGGATGACAGGAGAGCACTGTGGTCAGCTGGAGAGAGCCGAGCAAGCCCGAGAAGCAGGTGGCGAACCAGGCTCACGCTGAGTTCAGGGAAGGCTGGGGTAGACAGAGGTGCCTCGGAGGAGAAGCTCAGACTGGAACTTGGTTTTAGGACCTGAGGGAGCTCTGTCTGGGAAAAGGCAGAACAAACATTTATTGTGCCCCTTTTGTGAGCCAGGCCTTTTGGAAGGTTTTTTGTTTTAATTCCTCACCTTAGAACCATAGCTGTACCCAAAGGCGGTTTCAATGGTGAGGGGCTTCCTCCGAGGACAGAGACAGGAACGGACATTTACCCAGGTGGGGGCTTCCTGAGCACCCCCTCACGAAGCATCCCCGAAGGAAAGAAGTCACTCAGCTCCCAGGCTATGGTGTGTGGTTCAGGATCATCACAAATGACAAGCAGTGTAGAGCTGGGGTCCAGGTCCAGGCCTTCTGACTTCAGGGCCACCACTCCACATGTCACGTGTGGGACACACGCCAACCACCGGTGAGAGACAGACGTACATACTGAAAGCTCTCGCGCTCGGGGAGCTACCATTTATTCGATGCTTCTCTGTTAGTACCTAGCTCTGTAGGCATATTCCATCAATTCCAGATGTTCTTTAAATTTATTTGCTTCTTTCCCAATTGAGCCGATGGGGACTCGCTCTCACTTCCAGGCACATTTCTTGACTTCCCTCTGATACAAATCTGAATCCGTGTTCAAGCCCTGTGCTTCTTGTTGCTAGCGTCAACATTTTTCTTTACCCGTTTTCTATGTGTTTCTAGAGAACCACACTGTAAGGGCACAATGCAAATCATTGCACAAGAACACACCAAGTGCAAATTAGGTGAACAGAAGGGATAGCCACAAGCTAAGGATGGGTCCAGACCCGCCGTGCAAGTTCACAGACGGAAACAGTCCAAGGCGCGAGGCTCCCTCTCCACCTCGGCCGGCAGCCAGGCTGCAGAATTACCTACCATCTGATTGCCCTCTGCCTAGGTTTGCCGTGAACTTTCACAGTGGCTACAGTGACAGAGACATTGCCTTCCACTTCAACCCTCGGTTTGAGGAGGGTGGCTATGTGGTCTGCAACACGAAGCAGAACGGGTCCTGGGGGCCAGAGGAGAGGAAGATGCATATGCCCTTCCAGATGGGGAATCCATTTGAGCTCTGCTTCCTGGTGGACAGCTGGGATTTCAAGGTGAGCAGCAACTCTCTGCACCCCCCTTCCCGCTGCCGACCTCCCAGCCCCATCGGGTGTGGTGGTGACTAGCCTTTATAAATCACATGAGCGTTTTTGTTTTTTTTTCTTTAAGACTGTATGTATGTACGTATGTGTTGAGAGAGTGCAAGGAGGGGCAGAGGGAGAGAGAGAATCTCCAGCTGACTCCATGGGGCGCACAGAGCCTGATGCGGGGCTCGATCTCATGACGCTGAGATCATGACCTGAGCTGAAATCAAGAGTTAGACGCTTAACCAACTGAGCCACCCAGGCGCCTCCATAAAGCACATGAGCCTTTAAATAATCACATGTGCAATGCCATTAGACAGAGAGCAGGACCTTTCCCTTGTAGGGGCGCTCTGATGGCCACAGTCTCCTCACACTCCTTCCCCTGCATCTACGGGCTCACCTGCTGCTTCTTTCACTTGGGAAGTAAGAACTAGATACATCACCATGGTGCTTTTTGGCCCTGTGGGTCTTTAAAGTTCCAGTTAATTCCATTCCTCTGCTGTAACCATTCCTCCATGCAGGTCCCTGATAACGTTGGTTTTTTGGTAATATTATTGCAGTCTTTATCCAGGTTCTACTAATGGCTTAGTGTTACATGGTGTTGCAAATTGCATTAGTAAGCAGAATAGTGTCTCTGGGCTTGGGAGACGGAGGGGGGTGAGTATCCCCATGTCTGTCCGTTTCTGTGTGAGCACGGATGTGCCCAGCCCCTCAATGTACAACCCAGGGTCGCCTCTCCTCTGCCCCCCATGAACATGTTTATGCATATTTAAAGAACACCTCCGGGGAGTTAAGATGAGAAAGATCAACTGACTGCAATAAACAAACAACCCTAAGAACCAAAAGGCAAGTAGAGACTGGGATTGGATGCACTTGGATCATAGGCCATGCTTACAACTGGCACAGCTCTGAAGGCTGGTGCCCCTACCCTCAGGCGACAGATGTGGAAACCAGACACAGGGCTTAATTCCCGGGAGCAGGGGCTCATGTCCCCCTCCCCCCCCGCCTTGGCCTGAGAGCCCTCTCCTGGAATGTACATTCGTCTTGGCAGGTGATGGTGAACGGCAACCATTTTATGCAGTACTCACACCGCGTGCCCTTCCACTGCGTGGACACCCTCTCCATCACCGGGGCTGTGCAGCTGTCCTACATCAGCTTCCAGGTCAGATTGTCCACCTGGCACCTGTCTCGGGCTGAGTGCAGGGCCCCGTCTAGCTGCACCTGGGCCCCACTGGGTGGGCCCTATGGTAGCAGCCAATCTCCTCCCCAGGTGACTCTGGCGATGCCCCTCCGACTCCCCTGTCCTGTCCTTCTGTGTTCCTGTCTTTGTCCAGAACACTTGTCTCAGTCTCCTGGACTCCCAGGCCACTCCTCTCTGGCATTTTCTACTTCCGCCATGCTTACTTAGGAAGCCATGTGGCTCCGGAAAGAACTTGGGAATCAAACTGAATCTAGCTCAGCTCTGCGCATTGTCATCAGCTGTGGGATCTTAGGCAAGCAACTTTGCCTCCCCTGGCCTCAGTTTCCCCATCTGAGAAAGGGGCATAGTCACTGCTGCCCCATAAGTTATAGTGTGAATTCAAGGAGGTAATACATGTCAGAGATCACGACACGGCCTCTATGGGCCCACGCTAGGCTCTATTTGACCCTCTCTGTGTTTTGACATTTTCGAATGTGTTGCCGGCATCTAAAAGGTCAGGAGAAGAAGTTTTGCCTTCTGGAGATGGATGGTGGTGCTGGCTGAGCAACAGTTGTGAATGTTCCTCATGCAACTGAGCTGTCCACTGAGAATTGGTTGAGAAAGTAAATCTTAGGTGTATTTTACCACAATTAAAAAAAAAGGTCGGGTGGTATCACATGGAAATCTGGATTTCTGGCTTTTTTTTTTTTTAAATTTTATTTATTTATTTGAGAGAGAGATTGAGAGAGAGAGAGAGAGCACATGAGAGGGGATAGGGTCAGAGGGAGAAGCAGACTCCCTGCCGAGCAGGGAGCCCGATGCGGGACTCGATCCTGGGACTCCAGGATCATGACCTGAGCCGAAGGCAGTCGCCTAACCAACTGAGCCACCCAGGTGCCCCTGGATTTCTGGCTTTTTTGAAAACTGGGAGGATAGGGGTATGCTGGGCCCACATTCCCACAGGGCCCCAGGAGGTTGGGTTGGAGCTGCTATTACCACTTCCGGGCTTTGTTCTCCCGGAGGTGAGAAAAGCACACAATACGCCCACAACCGATATTCCTCTCTTTTTTCTCTTAATCTCTCATATTCCCTCCTGACCCAAATTTCTCCCCTATGGGCCTGAGGGAGAGAGCGGGGCAGGGGAGAGGAGAGGGTGGGGAAGGGGACAGAGATGGAGGGGAGTGGGGGGGTGGGGGGGGCAGAGAACACGCTGGCCTGCTGTCCCTCACTGGAGCATAATCCTCCCCTCTGTCCCTCCACGTGAACCTGAACACCCTCCCCTCCCCTCCCTGACTGGCTTCCTCCCTCTGGCCCAGGCCCCGGTCTTTCCCCGCTTCCTTGGCTCCATTAACCCTTCTCTTCATGCCCTGGTGCCTTTTGTTTTAACAGAACACCCGAGTAAACCTTACCCAGCCTGCCTTCTCCACGGTGCAGTTCTCCCAGACTGCCTGTTGCCCACCCAGACCCAAGGGGCGAAAGCCAAAAGTGAGTTCAATGTGGAGGTTTTGGAGGCTGAGCATCTCAGCAGAAAGGACAGAGGGTCCAAGAGGCTGGTTCCATCAGGCAGGCCTCATCATGCCCACCCAAAGCTTCCCTGTCTCCACCACACCACCTGGCTCAAGCTGGGAACCTGGGAGTCGGCTTTGGTTCTTCCTTCCCCTCCTTATGTCTCCCTGCAGTGCTCCCACACCCCTTCCTCCTGGAGCCACAGCCTTCTTTGGGCCAAGCCATCTGACCCCTGACTACAACAACCCTGGTCTAGTTCCCTGCTTACCCCACCCACACGAGGGTGACCCTCCTCTACCCAAATCTGATCGCATCCTCTCCCTACTTAAACATCCCAAAGGTTCCAGGTCCTTCTAAATAAAGCCCCGATTCCCCAGCAGGAGGTGTAGGACCCTGCCCCGCCCCCCCAGTCTTGCCCCAGCCCACCTCTTGGCCACACCCCCTATCCAGGATGCTCAGGCAGCCTCCACTGCTCACTTGAGGCTTTCTGGGGCCACCATGCTTTTTGCACCTGCAGGCCCGGTGCTGACAGCACCCTGCGCCTCCCCCACCCCCTACAGCCGACCTTTACCAGCCCTTCAATGCTCTGCTTAAATGTCGCTCTTTGGGAGCATCTTCCTGTACTTACATGTCTGTCCTTGTCACTCCACCCCCCCCACCCTATACCCACAAGCCCCTCATGGACAGGGATTGTGGCTTGTTCATTTGCGGATCCCCAGCACTTTGCACGGTACCTGAGCAAGCAGTAGGGGCCCCAGGAATGTGGAGTGTGGCTTGCACAGCCAGCAGAATGGGAGACTGGCCAGGGCAAGAACAATCTGTGGCATGGGGACAGGGTCTAGGACAGGAAGGGAAGCAGGGTCTGGTCTTCCCTTTGGCCACTGGAGCAGTGGGGGCTAAAGGAAAGGGTGCCTCTCTACCCAGCCTTTCTGTGGTCTCTCATGGCCCCGACAGGGCCTGTGCCTCCTGCCATGCTGACTTCAAGCTCCAGGGAGTCTTTGCAGGGCAGCCCGACTTTGACTCTGGCCTGGGGAGGAGAGGGTATGGTAGATAGAATCAGCCAGAACTGGGTAGCATTTTGGATTTTATCCCTTGCTACCCGCAGGGGCTTGGGCAAGCTGATTAGCCTTTCTGAGCCTCGTTGCCTCGCTAGTGAAACGGGAGCTGAGGATGCGTCCCTTGTAAATGTCCGGAAGCCAGAGCCTGGCACACAGTAGGCCTTCACTAAATGCTTCACCTTACGAATGAAATATGGCACCGAAGTAACGGTTTTGTCTCTGGGAGCTAAGGGGCGCTATATGACCTCCCCCTCTGGAGGAGACAATGAGGAAGTCCCTGCTCCTCCAACCCTGACAGTGCCCCCACCCCCAAGCCTGGTGTATCCCTGGGATGCGGGTGGGGCTGAGAATCTGGGCACCACAGGCTTGGGAGCAGGAAGGAGGGAAGCATGAGTCTGGGGAGGCCTTTTTTTTTTTTTTAAGATTTTATTTATTTGACAGAGACACAGCGAGAGAGCGAACACAAGCAGGGGGAGCGGGAGAGGGAGAAGCAGGCTTCCCGCTGAGCAGGGAGCCTGATGCAGGGCTTGATCCCAGGACCCTGGGATCATGACCTGAGCCGAAGGCAGATGCTTAATGACTGAGCCACCCAGGCGCCCCTGGGGAGGCCTTTCTTAACGACAGCCTCTGTCAGCGTCTCCCCTGCACGTAACACTAACGTTAACCACTGTTTTGATCTTCTCATCCCCTTCAGTCTACAGGCATTTGGCCAGTCAACTCGGCTCCCATTGTAAGTCTCTTGAGTTCTCCTGGGATCTTCTTCATTTTGCTTCTTCCTGCGGGTTAGAAAGAGGAGGCAGGGCTGGGCACTGGGCCTCTCCCATGGGGGGGTGTGGCCGAGGCCAACCCTGGCCATCTGCCTGGTGGTGGGAGGAAGTGGGGCTGGGGGGTTGGCTGGCCCTCATGGATTAGGAAACAGCCTGAACTGCCACTCTCTGCTCAAGCCCCCTGCCCTTCTGTGAGCAGCTACAGGAGACGGAGGCCCCACACTCACTCCTTCCTCCTGGAAAGTGAGGCTTTGCTAGACAAAATCCCCTGAGAAGAAAATGGGCCACAGGCCACAAGGGCAGCCCTATTTCTTCTCCAAGTAGAAGAAACCTTTGCCCCTACCTCATCCACTTGAGGGAAGAAACACCTCTACCCACCAGTTTTGCGGGGCTTGGTGGGTGGGGAGTGGTTGGACTTGTTACATGCACAAGATGGCTGCATCTCACAAAGTGTGTGTTAAGTGGTGCCCTCTGGTGGCAGATGGTGGTCTTCACGCTGGTGAGAACCAGTTCAAATCTGGGTTTTCTATCTTGCAGACTCAAACTGTCATCCACACCGTGCAGAGCACCCCTGGACAGCTGTTCCCTGTAAGTCTGAAAGCTCTGGTTGGGTCACAGCCTCACCACGTCCCCCTTCCCCAAGGACTGAACTCAGTAGTCCCAGAGGAACTTTCTTCCCCCAGGAAGAAAGCAGTGTAGCAAGGAGGATGGGGGTGTTTGGGGTTGAGCCCTCTGCTCAAAAGACATGTGAGTAAAATTCCTCTTGGGCCAACAGAGATTCTGGGTCAGGGTGGATTTACCCAGTGGCTTAAGAAGCAGGTTTCCTTAGGGACCAGCAAGAAAATGGGTTCTCTGTTACTGAAAGGGGAGTGCAGTGGTCCCAGCATCTGGGTATGAGGCCCTGTGTCCTGAGGACAAGCCCTGGGATGTCACTGCTGGTCACAGTCTTCCACTGTGAATCAGATGGGAGCACTGGAGTTAGGGAGGCTGCCCGTGGAAGGGTTGAAAGGCAAGCAGGCAGGTGGCCATGATGAGGTCAGGGAGCATGGCAAGAAGTTCCACCAAGGCTGACTTGGGAAGGAAGGTGAAGGGGTGAAGCCAAGGGCCTCACAGTGGGGCATCCCCTCTAGGATGTGAAGGGGTCCGTGTGGGTATGCACTCCCAAACTGAACTTCCTGGTCTCTTTCAACAGAATCCTATCACCCCACCTATGGCGTACCCCACCACAACCTATGTAAGTGGTTTCTCTGGGAGGGGCAGAGGCCTTGTCTGTGTTGGGCCAAGTGGGAGGTGGTGGGCAGCTTACAACATCAGGGCAGTCCTTTAGTAAGCTGAAGTTCTGGAAATATCCAAGGGAATCAAAAGGCTGTTGAAGGAAGCTGTCACCTTTAAAATTGTCCCTTCACCATGAGCCTATTAGAGGGCCTTCCTTCACAGCCCAAATATCCTTTTGTGTCCGGCCCAAGTTCTTTTCACGACAGCGGAAGCCGGTTACTTTGAGAAATACTGGAAAGTTTTCCTTTGGCATTTACTGAGCCAAATAATGATATCATGGAGTTCTTTCTTTTCTTTTCTTTTAAGATTTTATTTATTTATTTGATAGAGCGCCAGCGCACTAGTAGGCAAAGCGGCAGGCAGAGGGAGAGGGAGAAGTAGGCTCCCCGCTGAGCAGAGAGCCTGACATGGGGTTCGATCCCAGGATCCTGAGATTGACCTGAGCCAAAGGCAGATGCTCAACCCACTGAGCCACCCAGGCACCCCTGTTTCTTGAAAACATATTACTCACAGGCGTGGCTGTCAAACTCAGTTGACAGTTCAAATTCATGGAAATTGGCACAAAGCTCGCCCCCACACAGCTGACCTGCCCCTTTCCCCTCCCCCCACCGACAGCCGATGCCTTTCTTCACCTCCATCCCGGGTGGGCTGTACCCCTCCAAGACCATCTTCGTGTCGGGCACCGTCCTGCCCACTGCCCAGAGGTAAGCCATGGCTCTCAAGAAGGTCCTTCTCGTCACCCCCTGGCTCTGGGCAAGCTGGGAAGGGTAGGGACTCAGAGCTCAGGGGGCAGAGGAGGTCCATGTGAGCTGCCCACCCCCAGGTTCCACATCAACCTGCGCTCCGGGAGTGACATTGCCTTCCACCTGAACCCCCGTTTTGATGAGAACGTCGTGGTCCGCAACACGCAGATCAACAGCTCTTGGGGATCTGAGGAGCGAAGCCTGTCCCGAAAAATGCCTTTTGCCCGAGGCCGTAGCTTCTCGGTAAGGGGCCTCGGCCTGGAGCTCAGAGGGGCTCAAGGGGCAAACAGAGCGGGGTGGGCGGGGATGGTAGAGGGCGTCAGGGGGTCCCTCGAACCATATAGGAGCTGATACCTCTGGGGCGAGGGCTGGTCTCAGAAGAGAAAGTGCCCCCCAGATTGCTGCTCTCCTTGTCCTCCCGCTGCTTGCACAGGAGGGGACAAACTCACCAGTGCAGGTCACCGGCCTGAGGTCACACCGCCCATAAGTGCCAGGTGGGCCCCAAGCATGAGCTGTCATTCATTTATTCATTCACTCATTCATTCAACAATTGTGGACAGATCCCTGGAAATAACAACAGCTCTGTGCAGAAAGCAAAACAGAATCATGGAATCGAGTGAGCTCTGGGGCAGGGGCCATGCTGCCTTAGATGGGGACAGCAGTCAGAGGAGGCCACAACGTCAGCCAAGACCTAATGGACAGAAGCAGTGCGCCTCGCAAAGACCCGAGGGGGGCATTCCTGGGGGGCAGCAGGGAGGGCAGCTATCATTGCAAAAGCAGAGAGTCACGGCCAGGCCCTGTCTAGGGACAGGGAGGCTGGGCTTCCGAGTAGGACAGAGAGGTGTGGGTGGTATGGCTGGAGGCCCGAGCCCACAGAGCAGACGTTCTCAACCCCGGCTCCCCGTGCAAATCACCTGAGGAGCTTCAAAAAGAAAAGGCGATATCTGGCCCCACCTCTGCCCGAACGTCCGTATCTTCACATATGCCTTTTTTTGTTGTTGTTGTTGTTGTTGTTTTGTTTGTTTGTTTGTTTTTTAAGATTTTATTTATTTATTTGAGAGAGAGAGAGAATGAGAGATAGAAAGCACGAGAGGGAAGAGGGTCAGAGGGAGAAGCAGACGCCCCGCTGAGCAGGGAGCCCGATGTGGGACTCGATCCCGGGACTCCAGGATCATGACCTGAGCCGAAGGCAGTCGCTTAACCAACTGAGCCACCCAGGCGCCCCCCCACATATGCCTTAATACTCCTCACCCAGCACTGACTGATGGAGGGCCTTGAGAGCCACGGAAAGAAGTTTGGGTTTCAGTGTTGTGTGTTGGTGTGTTTCAAGCCGGAGAGGAATAGACTTTGATTCACAGAGAGCTGTGTGACTTTGAGCAAGTGACTTAACGGCTCTGTGCCTCAGTTTTCTCATCTGAAAAATGGGGCTAATAAGAATCTCCATCTCATCGAGGTGTAAGGATGAAATGAAATAATGTCTGTGACAGGCTGAGGACAGGGCCCGGGGCACAGTAAGTGATGATGTCTTAGCAGACGTGGTCCCCCTGCCTCCCGGAGAGTGTGTGGGGCGGGAAGGACAAGTCAGGAGGCTGCCCTGTGGGAATGCAGGCGTGGAACTCTGCTGTGTGCCGGCCAACTCTCCATGTGCCGGACATGGATGGCCTAGGCCAGTGTTCCTGCCCCTAGAGGCTCGGGACTCAGTGGGAGACTGAGGATCGGGTGGGGGGCACCTGACGAGGAGGGCTCAGGGTGGGCGGGGGGAAGGCAGGGGAGGCTTGCTGGTCGGGGAGAGGTTGGTGTGAGGCTTGCTTAAATCATGCTTGAGGAAGGCAGGTGGGTGGAGGGAGACAGGAGCCTGCATTTAGGTCAGAGGACTTCCTGAGGGGAGTGCAAACGACGTGGCCTCTCTTCAGGTGTGGATCACGTGTGAAGGCTACGGCCTCAAGGTAGCCGTGGATGGTCAGCACCTGCTGGAATACTGCCACCGCCTGAAGAACCTGCCTGCCATCAACAACCTGGAAGTGGGGGGCGACGTCCAACTGACCCACGTGCAGACCTAGCTGGGCTCCCTGGCCCTGGGGGTGAGGGTGCGGCCATGTTGCCTACTGCCTCTGCTCCTCACCTCCCTCTTCCCTGTCCCTCTCCCTGTCCCTGCCCCAGGCTTTCCCAGCCTGCTGAGGAGCTGGGGCTTTTCTGGAGAGAAGGTGTGTTTGGCTCTGCTTCGGGCTACAGCCAGCCTGGCGTGGAGGAGGCACCTGGCGGGGGGGGGGCTGCCTTCCTCAGTCAGGGCAGCGCCCAGGGCTGCGGCTGCCCAAATCCTACCATCTGAGGAGAGGCCGGTGGTCCCTGCGGGCTAAGCCCCATGTTCAGTCCCCTTGACAGAAAGGGAGGGTCCTGGGCCTTCCCAGGCTCCCAGACCAGGCCTACACCCCATCTGCCTCTCAGCCACATTGCCACCCCCGCCAACCCTCTCCATCTCAGCCCCTGGAGGCGGCCTCCTGGGCCCTTCCCCTTTCTCCTACCTTCAACCTTTCCTTACACCGGGGTCGCACCCTCCCCACTCCAGGAAAGATAGCCTGATACTCCCCTGGTCTCCATCAACTAACAGCATCTTTCTCAACAGGGGGCTCTTCTCTTTGCTCTTTCAAAGAAAGACAAATGCTTGTTGGCACATATGTATGGGGTCATGGTGGTTATTAAATGGGTTTGGAACATTTTGGAGTCTCTGGAACTGGGGAGGTTCTGGGTGAGGGCAGGGGGGCAGAGAGCATGAGCTCACTTTGATGGGGTGGGTCCTGACATCCCCACCTGCTCCCAGGGGGTTCCCCACAAACCCCCGACATGGGTGGGAGAAAGCAGGTTGAGCTCGGGCCTCCTGGGCGGGCATCTGTGATGCACGAAGCTTGGTAACAGGTGAACCCAGCAAATAGCCTCACACTTCTGAGACGGGCCAAGGGCTGGGCCGGAAGGCCAAATGGCAGGGCTGGCTTGTCAGAACCCTCTGTCCCAGTGGGAGGAGGTGGCAGGCGTGGTGTCAGGAGAAGCTGACTCAAGCTGACACCTGTCTGTGTTGTTCCACTGCGGGTCCTGCTGTTTGGGGTTAGGGTGTGGTGAGGAGAGTGACTCAACGTGTCGGCTTCTACCAGCCACTGGGGCAGCGCAGGGGGCCGGTTCTGTGTCCTCATGATGCCAACCCATCCTGCTACCTCCACCAAGAATCCAGTGCCTCTGGAACCAGGCTGGGGCTCCAAGCATCGTCCTGGGACCAGCAGCACCTGGGAGCCTGTCAGGAAGGCAGAATCCCGGGCCCTGCCGCAGGCCTCCAGAATCAGTCTGCCTGGGAACAAGATCCCAGGGGGTTTGTGTGCATCTGAGAGGGGAGAGGCACTGGCCTGGGTGACCGTGTTCTTGAGCACATTGTTCAGATGCATTGCCGGGGCACTGGCGGCCGGCATGCCTCTTTCTCCCCCCTCACCCCATCTGCGTAGGGGAGAAGTGGGCCAGGGAGCCAATGAAACAGAGGCCAAACCCAAGCTGGGAGCCTGATTTTCTCAGACCCCCCACTTAGCCCCTGGCTGCATTCCTTCCTTGTTCTAAGAGAAGGAAACATGGCTCAGCCCCTTAAGAAGTCTTCCCCACAGAAGATACGTGTCCTTCACTCACTGCCATGTCTTTGACACACAGTCCGATCCCACCTGCTTTGTCACCCAGGTGCCAAATTATTATTGGCCCAACTCTCATGAAACAGGCAGCCCCAGAGCCAAACATGGCGACTTTCTACGAAGGGATTGTTGGTCAAGGCCTTCCCTGAGGAGCTGGCATACCAGGCAGTGTGAGGTGCGCCCCGGATCAGGTGAGCCCCGTGTGAGGTGAGCCCCGTGTGAGACGGGCCCAGGTGAGGTGAGAACCGTGTGAGGTGCGCCCCGGGTGAGGTGCGCCCCGGGTGAGATGCGCCCCGTGTGAGTTGATCCACATGTGAGGTGAGCCCCGTGTGAGGTGCGCCCCGTGTGAGGTGTGCCCCGGGTGAGATGCGCCCCGTGTGAGTTGATCCACGTGTGAGGTGAGCCCCGTGTGAGGTGCGCCCCGGGTGAGGTGCGCCCTGTGTGAGTTGATCCCCGTGTGAGGTGAGCCCCGTGTGAGGTGTGCCCCGGGTGAGGTGTGCCCCGTGTGAGACAGGCCCAGTGTGAGATGCGCCCAGTCTGAGATGAACCCCGTCTGAGGTGAGCCCCGTATAAGGTGAGCCCCGGGTGAGGTGAGCCCCGTGTGAGACGTGCTCAGTGTGAGGTGCGCCCCGTGTGAGGTGAGCCCGTGTGAGGTCAGCCCCGTGTGAGGTGCGCCCCGTGTGAGGTGAGCCCGTGTGAGGTGAGCCCGGGGTGAGGTGCGCCCCACGGGCCCAGTGTGAGGTGAGCCCCGCGTGAGGTGAGCCCCGCGTGAGACGTGCTCAGTGTGAGGTGCACCCCGTGTGAGATGAGCCCGTGTGAGGTGCGCCCCGTGTGAGGTGCGGCCCGTGTGAGGTGAGCCCCGTCTGAGGTGCGCCCGTGTGAGGTGTGCCCCGTGTGAGGTGTGCCCCGGGTGAGGTGAGCCCGCGGATCAGGTGAGCCCAGTGTGAGGTGAGCCCGTGTGAGGTGCGCCCCGTGTGAGGTGAGCCCGTGTGAGGTGAGCCCCGTGTGAGGTGTGCCCCGGGTGAGGTGAGCCCCGTGTGAGGTGTGCCCCATGTGTGCCCCGGGTGAGGTGCGCCCTGTGTGAGGTGAGCCCGAGTGAGGTGATCCCCGTGTGAGGTGATCCCCGTGTGAGGTGAGCCCGTGTGAGGTGAGCCCGTGTGAGGTGCGCCCGTGTGAGGTGAGCCCGTGTGAGATGAGCCCCGTGTGAGGTGAGGCCCGTGTGAGGTGAGCCCCGTGTGAGGTGCGCCCGTGTGAGGTGCGCCCCGGGTGAGGTGAGCCCGTGTGAACTGAGCCCGTGTGAGGTGAGGCCGTGTGAGGTGCGCCCCATGTGAGACGTGCTCAGTGTGAGGTGCGCCCCGTGTGAGGTGTGCCCCGTGTGAGGTGTGCCCCGGGTGAGGTGAGCCCCGGGTTTGGTGCGCCCCGGATCAGGTGAGCCCGGGTGAGGTGAGCCCGTGTGAGATGAGCCCCGTGTGAGGTGAGGCCCGTGTGAGGTGAGGCCCGTGTGAGGTGAGCCCCGTGTGAGGTGCGCCCGTGTGAGGTGCGCCCCGGGTGAGGTGAGCCCGTGTGAACTGAGCCCGTGTGAGGTGAGGCCGTGTGAGGTGCGCCCCATGTGAGACGTGCTCAGTGTGAGGTGCGCCCCGTGTGAGGTGTGCCCCGTGTGAGGTGTGCCCCGGGTGAGGTGAGCCCCGGGTTTGGTGCGCCCCGGATCAGGTGAGCCC